TATTGTATTAATTACACTGATGACTCTACCCCTACCCCTCACCCTACTTTAAACCTAACTATACAACAAAACATGTGCCTAACCTTACCTGTATCCCTCCTCAATAGCAGCAAACATGTTTGTCAATTCACCATAAACACAATATAATGTTCCAAACAATATTTTTTTTGACCAAAGTAAGACACCTAAGATAAAATGATGCCAAACTATTTTCTTTTTGCATGCATGAAAGATGCAGGTCCATTTGCTGTTGATGTCGAAACCGTAAAAAAGACATCCATATTGCCTCCACTCTGCAGAGGAAGTGTTCCCCAGCAGGAAGTGGTCTCCATTCTGGGGCAGCAGCGGTAGACTGATGGGGCCACGGGGGCTGTGAATAGAGACTGCCCTCTTTCATTCTGCCCTGTAGGGCGGAAGGAGAAGCTCCTCAAGTGTGACCGGGCCAGTTTCCTGAAAAACTTCCCTTCATCCACTCTTATCCACACAAACAAAGTAATGCCTGCGCGCAACCCATTGAGCTGCGGTCAAGACCCTCACTGATTCGCTTAAGCACAATATGGTTCACCGGGTGCAGCCCTGCAGCACGAGCCAAACCATTTGACTGTGAAATGAAAGGGAAGTGCTTACTCAGACTTTTTTTTTCGTACATACAGTTAAACCGTAGTGGGTTTGCATATAACCTCGTAGAACGCAATCTGATTAGTTTGCTATATCATTGTCCCATGGCCAACACCGTCTAAGACCTCTGCAGAGGAAGTGCATTCCCGAGGGAGCACGTCTCAATGCTCCCTCGGGAATGCACTTCCTCTGCAGAGGAGATCAGCTAAAACCAGCTGTGGATCTGTTACAATTAATTAATGTATTGTATTAATTACACTGATGACTCTACCCCTACCCCTCACCCTACTTTAAACCTAACTATACAACAAAACATGTGCCTAACCTTACCTGTATCCCTCCTCAATAGCAGCAAACATGTTTGTCAATTCACCATAAACACAATATAATGTTCCAAACAATATTTTTTTTGACCAAAGTAAGACACCTAAGATAAAATGATGCCAAACTATTTTCTTTTTGCATGCATGAAAGATGCAGGTCCATTTGCTGTTGATGTCGAAACCGTAAAAAAGACATCCATATTGCCTCCACTCTGCAGAGGAAGTGTTCCCCAGCAGGAAGTGGTCTCCATTCTGGGGCAGCAGCGGTAGACTGATGGGGCCACGGGGGCTGTGAATAGAGACTGCCCTCTTTCATTCTGCCCTGTAGGGCGGAAGGAGAAGCTCCTCAAGTGTGACCGGGCCAGTTTCCTGAAAAACTTCCCTTCATCCACTCTTATCCACACAAACAAAGTAATGCCTGCGCGCAACCCATTGAGCTGCGGTCAAGACCCTCACTGATTCGCTTAAGCACAATATGGTTCACCGGGTGCAGCCCTGCAGCACGAGCCAAACCATTTGACTGTGAAATGAAAGGGAAGTGCTTACTCAGACTTTTTTTTTCGTACATACAGTTAAACCGTAGTGGGTTTGCATATAACCTCGTAGAACGCAATCTGATTAGTTTGCTATATCATTGTCCCATGGCCAACACCGTCTGCGACCTCTGCAGAGGAAGTGCATTCCCGAGGGAGCACGTCTCAATGCTCCCTCGGGAATGCACTTCCTCTGCAGAGGCCGCAGACGGTGTTGGCCATGGGACAATGATATAGCAAACTAATCAGTCTCAAAAAACACAAACTCAAGCTTAACCCTGAGGGATCGTCTGGCACCGAGAAGGTCGTGGGGCCTCCAGACCTGTTCTCCCACATACAGCACGTGAGAGAGGAGGGAAACGGGGAGAACCGTGGCACGGATTTGGCGTGGATCCCCTACGACTCTGCGTTCTGCATCTTCAAAGGAATTCGGGTCAAACAGGAAAATGATTCAGGAGTCTGGGAACGGCTTCCAGATGCTTGTGACCTGCTTTCAGAGCTGAGCGAATGTGTATTTTCACAAACTCATCCCAGCGATAAAGTAAAGTCTGAGAGGACGTGAGGGTATTGCTCAACCCCTCCTTTTGTCCTCAATTTTCTCTGTTGTCGTCTCTCTTGAACTTTGGTTGGTCTCTCGTTCCTGCTCTCCTTTTCTTTGTGCATTGCATCTGTTTGATCTGGCATGTTCGATATGTTTTGACAGTATCCACATTACTTTTTCAAATACCATTTTCAAAAAAAAGAACCACAAAAATCCATGGGTTACTAGTGTTTACCTAAAGTGGCCCTAAATAGTATTTCGTCACTTGATAACACTTTAGTTTAGGGACCAATTCTCACTATTAACTAGTTGCTTATTAGCATATTATGCAAATTACTAATGCATATTACTAGCATATTTGCTGTTTTTAGTACTTATAAAACACATATTAATGCCTTATTCTGCATGACCATATTTTAGATCTCTTAATCCACCCCATACGTAAACTTAACAACTACCTTACTAACTATTAATAGGCAGCAAATTAGCAGTTTATTGAGGCAAAAGTCATAGTTAATAGTTAGTTAAGAGTGAGAATTGGTCCCCAAGCTAAAGTACATCACTTAAAGGGACAGTTCACCTAAATATGAAAAATCTGTCATCGTCAACATGCCCTCATGTTGTTCCAAACCCATAGAGATGCAAATGAAGATATTTTTAATGAAACGTGAGAGATTTCGGTCCCTTCTTTGAAAGTCCATGCAACCAAATCTTTGACACTTCGAAAAGTACAATAAAAGTGATTCAAGTGAATCAAGCAGTTTAATCCAAGTCTTCTGAACAGACACTATCGCTTTATAAGTTGAACAGAATTAATTTGCATACATAGAGCACATCAAATATGGTAAAAAGAATCTTATCCATACAGTACATGCTTGATGCACAATAACAAACCTCACTGGACTTTAAGGGGTGGACAAAAATGATGAGAGAATATTAAAAATATAGTAGTATTTTCATTAAAGTATTTGGGTGAACTGTACCTTTAAGCTTCATTTATAACATAAGAATTATCAAATCAAATGGTATCTGTAACAATTTCTAATTTACGATTTTAGTGGATGGAGTCAGTTCCCCAATAGCATGTCCACTAAGGTTTGACATCCAGGAAAGATCAAAATATTGTTCCCCTTAATTTTGCATATTATTCAATAATATTAAATACTGTATGTACTTTTTAATCATACCTGACAAACCATTTTTGCGCTACCTTTCTTTAATTACCACTTGATTTGATATTTTGTCATCTGACACAATGGCATTCACATATTTTTAAGACTAGCTCAGATGTCTAAATGCATTTTGGGACCATTATGTGTTACATGACACTGTTTTGTGTGAGGTTAATGAACACCAGTGGTCCATATGCTGCTTTCAAAGGCCTTTCTATTTTAATGCAGGCCACACATGCAACTCATTAAACTCTAAACGCTAGCTGGCACATGCACACCTTTGCACGCAAGTTTTAAAGCCATAAACAATGTCATGTTGTTTAGTCCCACAGAGATAATTGTATGTAAACTGTAAGCAAACTGGTCTTTCTCACTCACTTGTGTGTAGTGGGTGCACATGGGTCCAGAGCAGCGCTCAGGGCACCAGGGGTTACACTCATGCGGGTAAGGGTAGGTGTAGTCCTTCACCTCGTCGTACCAGGCCTGCACATGGTAGGCCGGAGAGCGGTACCTATCAGGAGAGAGATGCAATAAATAATACAATTATGAATACTGTATCAGGCCACAGTAACATACACAGTGTTTTATATGTCAAATGCATTTACATTCATTCATTTGGTAGATGTTTTTACACAAAGCAACTTAAAGAGCAGCATTTGTCAAACCCATGACATTTACTTGTATATTCAGGTTTCATTTCTTTTGATACCTGAATAAGGATAAAAAAATTATAATAGGAAATTCACCTGGGTGATTGGTTGTGGATCACTTTGGTGAATTTTTGCTGGATTAAATGCTTATCCATAATAGTTGAAGTAGAAAATAAAGTTAATTTTAGCTCAAACAGTAGAAAATGGCACTAGCAGTGTCAGGGTGACTGGTTTAAATTCCCAGTGAATGCATGAACTGATAAACTGTATACTTTTTATGCAATGTAAACAGTGTTGGGGAAAATTACTTTTAAAAGTAATTCATTACAATATTGCGTTACTCCCTAAAAAAGTAACTATTAAGTTACTTTTCATGGAAAGTAATTCATTACGTTACTTTTGAGTTACTTTTTAAATCTGGGCAGAGCTTCACTGACAGTTATGTTTAGGGGAGAGGTGGACCAAAATGTTTTTTGCATAAAAAATCATTGCACAAATGAATTCACATTTTACGAATTTATACGAAATCACCACCTTGTAAAATGGTTCCGTTTTCTTGTGGGAAACTATATTGCATATATTGCTATATTGTTGATTTTGTATGAATTAACACAATGACAATTATGCAAAAACACATTTAAAAAAAAAAAAAAAAAAAAAAAAAGTTTTGGGCCCCTATACTACTGACAAAGGACAATGGAAACATTTTGCCTGTGAAGTGTTACAAAAACTTAAGGTGTTTTGGATAAATGCATAATAACAAATGTAAAGTACAAGGATAAAATACACAAAAATTCCGAAATACAACACAAAAATGTCTGAATGAATAACTTTTCCTGCCTTAAGAAAAAAATATATTTTTAGAAAAATATATTTTCCAGATTTTTAGGCCTGGAAATCACAGTTTTAAAATCCCCAAATATTTCCATGGTTTCCCAAGGCATTGTTAACACCATGTATGACTGGTTACTTTACAGGAACAGACTGATGTGGTCTTAGTAAATGTGTTTGTGCTAATACCTTCCCCAGTGCACTGCCAGGTTCTGCCCGATGGACATCAGTAGGTCTTTAGGTCCATGTTCCCACTGGCACTGTTCTGCCCAGTAGGTCGCTGACTTCTCCAGTTCATCGTCCCAAACCTGGTCATACACACACAAACTAAATCAAGCTCCCAGTAGAACACACAGAGTCCTAAATTCCCATATATTTGCACTGAGACTTTAACAGAACACTGAACATGCTGAGTTTTATTCCCAGATAATTCCCTTTGCCTTCCTCTGACTCTTCATCTTCACTATTGGACTAGGAATCAGGCCCAATACAACTAAAATATTGGCTACATGCACGCACATCAGAGTTTGGCTCACATCCACAGTAAATCCCCAGCAATCAGGGTTAAATGAGACAAATTTCCCAGCTTCTTTCTCCACCTGTAGGGAGGGAGGACTCACTTTGCACCTCAGAACAGGGTTCTTCACCTCTGAGGAACTCTCAGTAAATTTCCAACTGCATGATGGGTACAAACACTCACACATTCTCTAACCTCAGCTCTGAAGGTGCTGTTTGGGACTAAGCCACATTTCTGAAACCCTTACTTGTTCGCTGAGGCCTGGCAGTGGTTCTGAAACCCCTGCTTGTGGTAGACTCCTGTCTTTCTCAAAGGCATAAACCCAACTACATTAAACTCATGTTCGATTACCATACGCAAATGTACACAGGGAACAGCAATAAAGCAGGACTATGCTCTCTATAGGTCCCTAGTACACCTATGATTACTTAAAAAGTCCTATGGAAAATGTTTTTTCCTTAAAACTGCATTTCCCACAATGCCTTGCTATGGAATACTATTGAGGCCTTCAAATGTGTGAAAGTGATGCAGGTGTATCCAGTTATGCTCAACTGAACCAAGAGCTTTTGCCAGGTCAAGTAAATGATGACAAAATTGTCATTTCTGGGTGAACTATAACTAAACCTATAAAGAAGTGCACTTAGTTGTGCGGAATGTGCACTTGTAGTGTACTTCAAAACATAAAAGCATATTTAAAAAAAAAATGTAATAAAAGGCCACTTAAGTGTACTTAGAGTACATTTTCATGACTGTGTTTCTTAACACACTTAAGTGGTTTTTGTTATAATGTCAAATTAAGTTTACTTTAAAGTAGATTTTTAATCATGTTTTAATAATCTTTTGTCAAAAGTGTCATTTTGATGTGTTGACACATTTAAAGCACTTGATTTGAATTGTAGTGTGTTATTATACATTACATTTAAAATACATTTTAAATGTACTAAATTGTAACTTTGTCATTACAAATGTGTAATTTCAAATATATTTAAATACATTACTTACAAGTTTTAATAGAAATGGCATTAAAGTATATTTTAGTTTGCCATAAATGCTTTAGTACATTCAGCAGTACACTTAACCATATTTCCAAGAAAATAGATGTAATAATGAAATTACATGTAGATGTACTTAAGTCCTACTTAAGTGGGTTAAAAACGCTTAAGTTCAACTAATTGCATTTCATATTAATTTAAACTACTTTGCATGTTCATTTAATTTTAATTAACATGCAACTAAGTGTTCAAGAACATTACATTCAGTGCGCACTTAAGTATATTCTTTTCCATAATAAGTACTCTTTTTGAACGTATTCTAAAGTGTACTTCTTTTTCACAAGGGAATCCCTTTAGCACTTGAAAAGGAAGGCAGCATACCTGCCGTTTCTGTCACATAACTGAAGCCTCATCTCTGGTCCAGTAATAATGTCACTAATCTTTGGCTCTGTTCTCTACCTATCAGTGTCATGGTTCCTGCGTCAGCAGGCGGCTAAACCTCAGTGTAATTGTCTCCACAGTAAAAAGGCAACGCACCACGCTGGCAGGATTACACTTGTAAACTCAACATGTGTTTTCCAATGAAGCCAGTACTTGGCACCTACACAAACCTAAAGATATTTACTGCAGCAGGAAAAAAAAACGATGAATGCTGCTAACACAATATGCAATTAGTATAAATCAGGGTCATTAATGCAGAACAAGTGCTGGTTTTAAACTACTGATTCAACTACTGTTTTTTTCAAACTACTGATTCCAATAGTCTAATGCTAGCATGTTGCTAAGCTAACAGTGTGATAATCTAATAAGCATAACAAACCTTGTGAAAAAGAAGTGTGCTTAATTGTATTGAATGTACACTTCAAATCATAAGTGTTTTTTAAAAAGCTATATTTGCAGATAATATTAATAAAATAAAAGGTCACTCAAGTGTACTTAAGTGTAAAGTGTAAGTCTTAAGTGTAAAAAGAGTATACTTTCATTACCGACTCCTAACACACTTAAGTACACTTTTTAAAAGTGCACTTTGTAATAAAGTAATATAAATTAAACATTTTATTTTAAAGTGCATTTTAAATCATTATGTTTTAATAATTTAATGTGTTGACTAACATACTAAAGCAAAGTACTTGATTTGAATTTCAACTGTAGTGTGTGGTGCGTATTCATTTTTACATTTAAAGTAAATATATTTTAAATGCACTAAATTGGAATTTCATCAAATTTGTAATTACAAATATTTTAAAATACATGACATACACGTTTCAAGAGAATATAAATTTTAACTATAATACATTTTCATTTAATTGCAATTAACATGTATTTAAATGTCTAAAAACATTCCATTCGTTTAACTTAAGTATATTCTTTTAATGTATATTATTTTCCGTAATAAGTACTTTTTTAAAAGGTATGCGAAAGTGTAATTTTTCATAAAGGAATACATAGCACATACAAAATATTGGAAAGAGTAATGCATTTTTAAAAAGATTGAATTTGATACTTTTTGGTATTGAATGATTATTTTTGTATTTGTAATCAATAATTCTCTCGATTTATTTGCCATCTTGTGTGGAAAATTTCAGCTTGTCGCATCGTAAACTTTCCTTCAGCATTTTAAACTTAAATAAGATCTCAGAAATCAACATAACTTTATTCCCTACTTTTTGAAACAGTCTTTGTGTCTGCAGCACACTTTTGATGGCCTAAAATGCTTTCTATGAAGGCGACTCTCTAGGTTTTGGAACAGAACCTCCTGAGTTTTCAGCTCAGCTCATTTTAGAGTCTCTATACAGACCCTCAATAATTACAATAAATCATAAAAAGAGTTGGTGTGAGCGTAAAATGACTCAAACTGTGTTCCATTCTCACCATGTACTCCATGTTGGAGGCGGTTGGGTACACCTCTCCTCTCAGCTTGTTGTGCAGTTGCAGGATCTCCTCTCTGTCTGACCACCTGATGGCTCTGCGAGTGCGTAAAGGCGCATCAGCTTTTGTGCCGTTGGGCTCCAGCTCGTCCTGGTAGCGTTGCATCAGTTGCCTCAGCTCCAGGGAGTCAGGAAGGAAGAGGGAGGCAGCCAAACTGGCACCCAGGAATAGCAGGGCAATGGAAACGAGCCTGTGCATGGCAGCGGTGATGCTTTCAGGGTCGGAGTACAGTAGACTGCCTTGTGTGAGCGTGTCTTCAGGGCTCTATTCTGAAAAATCAGGAAAGAAATATGGTTTCCATGAGGACAAGCGTTGGGAAAGTTGTCAGAGCAAACGCTGGATAGTAAACACAAGTCCATGTGTTTACACACAAAGAGAAATCAGTGCTTCAAATAGGAATTTGCTAAATTCGTTTCATTAGTCTCTCTTATTGCATCCTGACTAAACATAAACCACAAATATATGAACACAAACAAAGTCCAATAACAACAATCATAGAGGGTTGCTGTTCTGGAACAACATGAGAGGCATCCATCCATGTAGTGCAGCAACTGCTTCTTTGCTTAAACTAATGCTTATCCTAATGCTTGTGTTACATTTCACCCCAAAATAAGTAATTTTGCGTAAAGCAAGCACAATTTTAAGAAAAACAAGATTAATTGGGATATTACTTTCATGACAGTTGAGCACATTCCTTCCCGAATTTATTTTCTAATTTTACTGTAATACCTAATCATATTAACAGTATCACTACTGCAGTAAAAATACTGATATACAATGTTTTCAATTTAAATGAGCATAAATTAAAGTGGTTATCTTTCTTTAATACCTAAAAACGTCACGATACTTCTGTAAAAATATTGAAATAAAGTTTTTAAATAAAATTAACAAATTAAAATGATTAATAATTAAAAATGTAACTATCACTTTATTACTGTAAAATGTTACAATTAATTAAAAATTAAATTAGCATAAATTAAAATGGTTATTATCTTTACTGTAATACCTAAAAATGTAACTGAATCACTTTATTAGTGAAAGAATTGAAATACAATGTTTTTTAATTAAAGTGCTGATTATCTTTACTGTAATCCCTAAAAAATGTATTGTCAGTTACAGTAAAAATAATGAAATATTTTTTTATTTAAATGTTCATAACTTAAAGTAGTTATCATCTTTACTGTAACACATACAAATGTAACTATCACTATATTACAGTAAAAATATCAAAATCTTGTTTTATCCATGAATTTGTGTTTTTTTTTACTGCAATACCAAATGTTTACTGTATCACTATGTTACAGTACAAATATTGAAATAAATGTTTTTTTTTTAAATCACCATAAAGTACATTTACAAATACAACAGATAATATCATCATTATTCAGATGTTATAAATTTTTTTCCACATTACAGCAATGAGAACTGTGCTAAATTAATAATTAATTAATTAATAATAATTAAATTATTTACTTATTTAATTATTTACTTTATTATAATTTATAATAATAATAATAAAGTCAGAATGCACAACATCTTAATGGTCCTAAAATAGGCTTAATTTTCTTTAAGAAAAATATAAGCCTTCATTTGTTTCTTATGATATTGAGATGAAATATGATAGGCATTACAAGATTCTTTTCTGATTCGCCCTTTTTGTACTCCCTGCAGAATTGCCGCAAATTGTTTAGATGAATTTGCCATCTATCTTCACTGGAGCAGCACTCGCCTACATTGATCCACAGCAAATGAATAGTTTGTGCTCCAATTAGAAGAATCTTTATTGTAATGTATGCCATAATCAATTGTCAAGCCAAAGGCCCCATCATTACAGAACAATTATACCATCAAAGCCTCACATAACAAATCCCCATTGTAATCTTCATTACTACTCAAAAGATCAAA